TTTTATGTTAGCCAGGATGGTCTCGATCTCTGACCTCATGATCCGCCCTATCTTGGCCTCCCAAAGTGCTGGGATTTACAGGCCTTGAGGCCATTCGGGCAGGCCAAAAAAAATTTTTTTAATAGGAATATAAAGGCCCAGGCATGGTGGTTAACCTCCTGGTAATCCAGCATTGGAGGCGAGGTGGCGAGCCCCAGGAGTTCACCTGACATTCAGGAAGTTCGAGACCAGCCCTGGCCACATGGCCAAAACCCCGTCTATACTAAAAATAAAAATATTGGCTTAGGCACAAATGGTGGCTCGCACAAACCTATGATTTTTAGGCACTTGGGAGGCCAAGGTGGGAGTGGAGTTGCCTGAGCTCAGGGGAGGTTGAGGACTAGCCTGGGCAATCACCGGTGAGAATCCCCGCCTCTCCTACTAAATATAAAAAAAATTAAGCCAGATGGTGGTGCGCGTGCACTGGTAATCCAGCTCACTCTCGGAGGCTTGAGGCAGGGCAGAAATCGCCTTGCAACCCGTGAGGCAGAGGTTGAGCTGAGCGAAATCAATGCCATGCCTCTCCAGCCCTGGGCAATCAGAAATGAAGCCTCCATCTCAAAAAAAAAAAAAAAAAAAAAAAAAGTATTGAGAGATGAGGTCTTGGCATGTTGCCCAGGCTGGTCTCAAACTCCTGAGCTCAAGCATCCTCCTGCCTTGGCCTCCCAAAGTGCTGAGATTACAGGTATGAGCAACCACGCCCAGCCCAATATGTAAATAAATTAGCAAAATATGTGGTATGTCAGCTCCAAGTGGAGACACAAGAGAGGGGCATGAGCTGGCAAGGGTGATAGTCTCGGCCCTGGTGCACAATGGGACCCAGGAGATGGAGAGGGGAAGGAAGTCCCCAGATAGGCAGCAACATGGACCCTCTAGCAGAGACACTGGAGCTGCTGAAAGATTCCGAGTAACAATCATCACCGTCATACAACAGCAGGAAGCACTGACATTCCACACCAGGTGCTGTTCTGTTTGCTTTACAAATATCACTTCATCTTTACAGCAATCCTATGAGTATGGTACTATTATTATTCGGATTTTTCTGTTTCGTTTTCTTTGAGACAGAGTTTCGCTCTTGTTGCCCCCAGCATGCAATGGTGCAGTCTTGGCTCACTGCAACTTCTGCCTCCTGGGTTCAGGTGATTCTCCTGCCTCAGCCTCTCAAGTAGGTGGGATTACAGTCATGTGCCACCACGCCCAGCTAATTTTGTATTTTTAGTAGAGACGGGGGTTCTCCATGTTGGTCAGGCTGGTCTTGAACCCTGGACCTCAGGTGATCTGCCAGCCTCAGTGAGGGCCGGGCACGGTGGCTCACGCCTATAATGCCAGCATTCTGGGAGGCCAAGGCGGGTGGATCACCTGAGGTCAGGTGTTCGAGACCAGCCTGACCAACATAGAGAAACCCCACCTCTACTAAAAATACAAAATTACCCAGCTTGGTGGTGGGCACCTGTAATCCCAACTACTTGGGAAGCTGAGGCAGGAGAATCACCTGAACCCGGGAGGTGGAGGTTGCGGTGAGCCAAAATCACACCACTGCACTCCGGCCTGGGTGACCTGGAGAGACTCTGTCTCAAAAAACAACAACAGGCCGGGCGCGGTGGCTCAAGCCTGTAATCCCAGCACTTTGGGAGGCCGAGATGGGCGGATCACGAGGTCAGGAGATCGAGACCATCCTGGCTAACACAGTGAAATCCCGTCTCTACTAAAAAATACAAAAAACTAGCTGGGCGAGGTGGCAGGCGCCTGTAGTCCCAGCTACTCGGGAGGCTGAGGCAGGAGAATGGCGTAAACCCAGGAGGAGGAGCTTGCAGTGAGCTGAGATCCGGCCACTGCACTCCAGCCTGGGCGACAGAGCAAGACTCTATCTCAAAGTCTCCATAAATATTAAAAAAAACAACCACCACCAAAAAAAAATGAGAACTGAGGTAAAGAAAGGTTACATAACTTGCCTCCTAGAGTTATTACAGTGGGTGAATGGGCTGGGATTCCAACCCAGGTCATCTGGCTCCCATGTAGGTAGGTCTGGACCCACAGGTAGAGGGGACAAGACAAATTGCCAAGCCTCAGGACCAGGTAGAGCCAGATAGGATCAATAACCTCTCCAGCAGTCATCTCCAACCTAGCAGGTGTGGGAGAGGCCCTGTGACAGGGGCGGGAGAAGGCTTAGTGGGGCTGGCAGTCCACCCAATCCTCCTCCAAGACAGTCCAAAGCAATAGGTGGCAGCAAGCCCCCAAGGGTGGGTGGAACACGGGAAGCCACCCCAGCTGGTATTTTCCTTGGATCATAGTGTGGATGTTAAAAAAACACACCCCCCCTCCACCCAACAGCTGCACAGTCTGGAGCAAATATACACGCTCACCACACACACACGCAAGACCATATATATATATTTTTTTGTTGTTGTTGTTGTTTTGAGACAGAGTCTCGCTCTGTCGCCCAGGCTGGAGTGCAGTGGCACAATCTGCGCTCACTGCAAGCTCTGCCTCCCGGGTTCATGCCATTCTCCTGCCTCAGCCTCCCGAGTAGCTGGGACTACAGGTGCCTGGCACCACGCCCGGCTAATTTTTGTATTTTTAGTAGAGACGGGGTTTCACTGTGTTAACCAGGATGGTCTCGATTTCCTGACCTTGTGATTCACCAGCCTTGGCCTCCCAAAGTGCTGGGATTACAGGCGTGAGCCACAGCACCCAGCCCAATATACTTTTTTAAACTTTATTTTTATTTCTATTTATTTATTTTTAATTAAAAAAAATCTAATTAGAGATGAGGTCTTAGGCCAGGCACAGTGGCTCATGCCTGTAATCCCAGCACTTCGGGAGGCTGAGGCAGGCAGATCACGAGGTGGGAGGATCACGAGGTCAGGAGTTCAAGACCAGCCTGGCCAATATGGTGAAACCCCATCTCTGCTAAAAATACAAAAATTAGCCAGGTGTGGTGGTGTGTACCTGTAATCCCAGCTACTCGGAAGGCTGAGTAAGAATTGTTTGAACTCAGGAGGCAGAGGCTGCAGTGAGCTGAGATCGTGCCACTGCAGTCCAGCCTGGGAGACAGAGCGAGACTATGTCTCAAAACAAACAACAACAACGACGACAAAAAAAAACCAGAGATGAGGTCTTGGCATGTTGCCCAGGCTGGTCTCAACTCCTGGGCTCAAAGGATTCTCCTGCCTTGGCCTCCCAAAGTGCTGGGATTACAGGCGTAAGCCACTGCACTCACCCTACTTTTTTTTTTTTTTTTTTGATACAGGATCTCACTCTGTCACCCAGGCTGGAATGCAGTGGCAAGATCACTGCTGACTGTACCCTTGACCTCATGGACTTAAATGATCCTCCTGCCTCAGCCTCCTGAGTAGCTGGGACTACAGGAGAGCGCCAGTGCACCTGGGTAATTAAAAGAAGATTTTTTTGTAGAGACAGATGCTATGTTGCCCAGGCTGGTCTCAAACTCCTGGCCTCAAGTGATCTACCCACCTTGGCCTCCTAAAGTGCTAAGATCACAGGCATGAGCCACTGCACCCAGCCTAAGATAGTTAATATCCACTTCAAGGCTGCTCAGAGGGCCTGAGAGGAACAAAGGGCTCAGCTCTGGAGAGCTCCATCCCCAGCGCCAATCTCTCTAAATGGCCTCTTTCCTCTCCACATACTACCACAAGGCTTGGAGTCCAGCTTCCTGTGACCTTAAGTCACCATTCCAAAACCCTGCAATCTCATCCAGAGACCACAAATGAAATAATGAATATTATAATCCTGAGAAGTTTAGTGGATCAAGACGGCATGCCATCAAGATGCTGAGAAACAAAGAGGCAGATGGGACCGGGGGCCCAGAAGATGCTGGAACCCACAGTACTAAAAGCTCAGAGAGGCTGGGCACGGTGGCTCACACCTGTCATCCCAGCACTTTGGGAGGCCAAGGTGGGTGGATCGACTGAGCCCAGGGGTTTGAGACCAGCCTGGGCAACACGGCGAAACCCAGTGTCTACCAAAAAAATATACAAAAATTAGCCAGGCATGCTGGTGCATGCCTATAGTACCAGCTACTTGGGAGGCTGAGGCAGGAGGATTGACTGAATCTGACAGCACACCATTGCACTCCAGCCTGGGTGACAGAACCAGACTCAACTTCAAAAAAAAAGAAAAAAGAAAAAAGAAAAAAAGCCCAGAGGGGAGGGCACCCTTGACAGTTTTCCAGCCCCTTCCACATCCTTCTTAACCTCACTAGATACTGTCCAAGTCCTACCTTAGGCAAGGCAGAAATTATAGGACCAAGCCGTCAAATGGGGAAATTGAGTCCCAGAGAGGAGTAATGCATTATTTAAGATCCCATGCAGGACTATGAGTCAGGGGTCCAAGAGCCCTTCCACCATGTGCCACTCAGAGACACAGAGTAGGAGGGGGAAGGGGGTCGGGTGGTAGGGGACAAAAGATGCGGGAGGCAAGCAGCAGAGACTGAAGAGGCAGAGGCTGACATGGAAGACCCGGGAGCAGGGAATCTTTCCTCACCGTCTCCAGGGGAGGCTTCCTGAAAAACCCTGCATTCCCTCTGTGGGTTGATCAGGGAACCACTCTCCTACTAGCTGGGTTTTGTGTTTTGTTTTGTTTTGTTTTTTTGAGATGGAGTCTTACTCTGTCGCCTAGGCTGGAGTGCAATGGCGTCATCTCAGCTCACTGCAACCTCCGCCTCCCGGGTTCAAGCAATCCTCCTGTCTGAGCCTCCCGAGTAGCTGAGATTACAGGCATCTGCCATCATGCCTGGCTAATTTTTCTACGTTTGTAGAGATGGGGTTTCGCCATGTTAGCCAGGCTGGTCTCCAACTCCTGGCCTCAGGTGATCTGCCTGCCTCTGCCTCCCAAAGTGCTGGGATTGCAGGCATAGGCCACCGCACCCTGCTAGAGCTGGGTTTTAACAGGAAGAGAAGAGCCAAAAATCCTCACATAGAATCAGACAGCACTTGACAGTTTCCAACCTCATCATCACTGAAGTTTAGAGCAGCCCATACCCATAAAGATGATCTCCCCATCCCCCCAAGTTACCCACTGTGCAGAGGGAGATCGACACTTAAGAGACAGGAAGCAACTTCCAGAAGTCCATAGCAACCCAGTCCCAGGAATCTAGGTTTCCTGACCAGGGCATAGCAGAAAGGGTCCATTCCTTTCCTTTTTTTTTTTTTTTTTGAGATGGAGTCTCCCCGTGCTCCCAGGCTGGAGTGCAGTGGCGTGATCTCGGCTCACTGCAAGCTCCGCCTCCCGGGTTCACGCCATTCTCCCGCCTCAGCCTCCCAAGTAGCTGGGACTACAGGCGCCCGCCACCACGCCCGGCTAGTTTTTTTGTATTTTTAGTAGAGACGGGGTTTCACCATGTTAGCCAGGATAGTCTCGATCTTCTGACCTCGTGATCCACCCGCCTCGGCCTCCCAAAGTGCTGGGATTACAGGCTTGAGCCACCGCGCCCAGCCTCCATTCCTTTCCTTGCTTGTACCTTCACAGAAGCTTCCTGGACAGAGCCCTGGGGTCCAGGAGACCCGTTATTCATTCTCAGCTATGCTGAGACTTACTAAATGACCTTGGGGACTCCTTCTAGAGAATTTAAGTTCCACGAGTGCAGGAATTTTTATCTATTAGTCCTTGATGTATCTCCAGCCCTAGAACAGTGTTTGGCCCATAGTATGTGCCCAAAAATATCCATTAAATGAATGTTCTGTGCATGGTGGTGCATGCCTGTAATCCCAGCAGTTTGGGAGGCTGAGGCAGGAGGATTGCTTGAGCCCAGGAGTTAGAGACCAGCTTGGACAACATAGTGAGACCCCATCTTGTAAAAATTTTTAAAAATAAAAAATAAGTGAATATCTCGATAGCCAGGATTAGAGAAGTGTCACAGTCTGAAAGACTGAAGCCTAAAGAAGACCAAGGAACCAGGGTCTTCATCCTCAGATACATGAAAGGCTAAGATTCTGTCCACAAGTATTTATAGAGGGCCCGTAATGTGCTTGGTACTGAGCTAGGAACTCCCCAGATTCAGTTAAGAACAAAGTCATTACCTGCCTCAGATGCAAGGCAGGGTCTGGGGGGTGTGAGTGGCAGGGAAGGCAGCGTGCAGAGACACTTTTCTTAGCCTGAGCTGCCCTGACATGGTCTGACAGCCCACAAGGTGGTGAGTGCAGCCGGGCTGTAGTGTTCAAGGAGGGCGCCGGCTGGCTGCCCACCTGTCAGAGGCTGCGCCAGGAGGATGCGGAAGAAGAGGTTTCTGCCTTGGCTGAGGTCACTTCCCACCCCTAGATTCCCTGCCCACACAACCCTGCAATTTTCTGACGCTGACGACTCGGATCCTATTATTTCCCGATTTTCAAGGTCCCATGATGCTGACAGCCCCAAATGCTAAGTCGTCAGTCCGCCCACGCCCCTGGACCCGAAAGCAATAAAGGCGAAGTCAGCAAGGGTCCTACCACCCACTGCCTCGAAAGGCCTCTGGGGGTGGTGGGCGCGCCCCTCCCCACCTCGCGGGGGCCGTGTGGGCGTCGTTCGGTGGTCGGAGTGCCGGGGACGTCGTGATGAAAACAGCGTCCCAGAGACGGCGCTGACAGAGCCGGGACACGTGACAGTCACAGCGTCACATTCTGCGGTCCACGAGTTTGGGACCGGGTTGGTCACGTGACGCGGTGGGGGCACCATGGGGTGATGTGAGATGCGGGTGCCTCAGATTACGTACAAATGACGTATTCCTACCCCTTTTGGCAACCAGATTTCCGTTGGAAGATGCAACGGTTCCGGTGACGGTAGCCAGTTCTCGCGTCCAGGCAGCTCCGCTTCCGCTCGGGGCGCAACAACTTCCGACTCCACCTTCCCCGCCTCGGGCGAGGAAGAGACGCGACCATATGCGCATGCCCCGAATTTATCACGGAGGGGCGGGGCTGAGGCTGCGGGAGCTGGAGGGGTGAAGAAAAGGGAATTCCAACCTGTGGAACCTTGGGGGGTCCCCGGGGTCGGCGCCTTCCCATTGACTGTGGGCGGTGCAAGGGACGGAGGCTCTGGTGGCTCGTGGGGGTGTTGGGGTCCGCAGGGGGAGGGAGGGGAGTGTCAGAGTGTGAGTGGGGTACGGGTATTCCAAGTTTGCGGGCCTCCCGGTCTGACGCCGGGGAGGGAGAGCTCAGGCCGCCATGCGGGACAGGACCCACGAGCTGAGGCAGGTGAGACGCCAGGGCAGCGGGGATGGGGGCGGGCGGACGAACTGGAACGCAGGACTCCTGGTCTTCGGGGTAGGGAGGGGTGGCTGATGGCCAGGAAGGAAAGTCCCGGAAGCCTGTGGGTCCTGCGGGGTGACAGCCGCAGCGAAACAGTGGTGCCAATGACTCCGGGCCTGGCAGGGGGATGACAGCTCGGACGAAGAGGACAAGGAGCGAGTCGCGCTGGTGGTGCACCCGGGCACGGCACGGCTGGGGAGCCCGGACGAGGAGTTCTTCCAGAAGGTAAGGGGATGGAGTCTTGGCCTGGATTCGCGAGGGGGTAGGAGGACCCAAGGAGCAGCGTGGTCTGGAGTACCCCATATCTCTTTCAGCCCTCTCGGTCACCCTCCCCAGGTCCGGACAATTCGGCAGACTATTGTCAAGCTGGGGAATAAAGTCCAGGAGTTGGAGAAACAGCAGGTCACCATCCTGGCCACGCCCCTTCCTGAGGAGAGTGAGTGAAACCCCGGCTGCATAGCGCATGCTCCGCCCCAGGGATTGTGGGGGTTGTAGTTCCACGCAGGTGGTGGCCAGGGTGGTTTGTTGAGGTGGGGGCTGCTGTTTGGGAGTCGTGGCCTTCTCTTATTCAGGCATGAAGCAGGAGCTGCAGAACCTGCGCGACGAGATCAAACAGCTGGGGAGGGAGATCCGCCTGCAGCTGAAGGGTGAGCTACTGGGACCTCAGGCAGATCCTTCCCTCTGATCCTGCCCTGTTGTTGGTATATCTGGGGAGTGTGTGGCCCAGAGAAGCCAGTGATATATCCAGGTCACACAGCAGGCCTGGTTCTAGCATCTCTGTCTCCTGGCCTCCAGGCTATTGTACTCTCCACAGCACAAGGCAGTCTCTCAGGTTCTTTTATTTACAATGAAACCATTTACTTACACAGTTATCACTGCCCACTGGGCACTCTTTGGGCAGGGAGATGGGGTTTTGTTAGGTGGCCTCTGCATTCCTATGGGAACTCAAGTGATGTAATGCAAAGAAAAATAAACTTACTTTCTCCTCTTGGAGGCTCAGCCTTAGTCATTTTATGATAAATTATATTTCCCTAAAAATCCTATAGAGACAAGTACCCCCAATACCCCTGTGTCTTCCCACAGCCATAGAGCCCCAGAAGGAGGAAGCTGATGAGAACTATAACTCCGTCAACACAAGAATGAGAAAAACCCAGGTGGGTTTTTTTCCTCAGAAATAACATTTCAGCAAATGTTTCATGAAGTATTAGATGACAGATGTATGAAGGAAGGGCCTGCAGGTGTCATGGAGTCCAGTTGGATGATTTTTCCAAGTGGGAAACCTGAGCTCAGAGAGAGAAAGAACTTGCTCAAGGTCAGGAAACCAGGTCTCCTGATGCTCAGTCCGGTTATAACACCCTGCTTTATTTTCTTCCATTCAATAAGAAGTTACTTATTGACCCCAGGCTTGACTGTGGGACACGTTTTCTTTTCTTTTTGCCTCAGCCTCCTGAATAGCTGGGATTACAGGCGGACACCACCATGCCGAGTTAATTTTTGTATTTTTAGTAGAGACGGGGTTTCACCATGTTGGCCAGGCTGGTCTCGAACTCCTGACCTCAGGTGACCCTCCTGCCTTGGCCTCCCAAAGTGCTGGAATTACAGGCGTGAGCCACTGCGCCCAGCTGGGACACGTGTTTTCTAGGAGTCAACATGAGGAGTTAGGGTTCAATAGGGGATAAAGACATTACTCACGTAGGATCTGGTGGCTAATGGCGCTGCCCAGGGAAGGAGAGTGAGAAGTCACAAATTGACTGGCAGGTTTGCTATCTGTGTGACAGGGACATCCTTAGTCCCACAGGTGGAATTCAAGAAGTCAGGAAGTGGAACTTCCCTGGGGCGACACTGAAGAGGAACTCCCCTGGTGTAATATCTTTTTTTTTTTTTAATTATTATTATTTTTTTGAGATGGAGTCTCTCTCTGTCGCCCAGGCTGGAGTACAGTGGCACAGTCTTGGCTCACTGCAACCTCCACCTCCTTCAAGCGATAATCCTCCCTCAGCCTCACAAGTAGCTGGGATTACAGGCGTACACCACCACACCTGGCTAGTTTTTTATATTTTTTGGTAGAAATGAGGTTTCACCATGTTGGCCAGGCTGGTCTTGAACTCCTGACCTCAAGTGATCCACCTGCTTTGGCCTCCCAAAGTGCTATGATTACAGGCATGAGCCACCGTGCACGGCCCCTGGGGTGATATCTTAGTAAGGAGATTTGCAGTGATCTGACTGGCCCTCTCTGTGTCCCCAGTGAGGAGGATACCAGGCAAGAGGTCAGGGTTGGAGTAGTTGAGCCCAGGGCTCAGCAAGGACCCCAGATTGAAGATGAAACAGCTTGGGCATCTTGGAAGGGTGCAGCTGGAACCAGGAGAGCAGATGTGTCTCTGGAAAAGGAACTCCAAGGAATGAGCATATTTAAGGCCTCAGGAGAAGGGGCAAGGCAGAGCAGATGCCCCAGAGCCAGTGTTTCTGGGGAAGCCTGTGGTGGTGATTGGCATGAGTGGTCAAGGGCCCATGTGGCCCTTTTGCACCTGTTTTGCCCAGGCAGCATGTTCATCTCTAGGCATAGGAACTGTGGTGTAGGCAGCAAGGTTGGCATTCAGCAAGCATTCAGCAGTTACATATTGGGTGCCTACTGTGTGCCAGACCTTTTGGGAACTGTTTAGGATACAGCAGTGAATCAATGATCCCTATCCTCATGGAACTTCCCTTCTGGTGTAGACAATCACCATAATAAATACGTGAATTATTTAGAACATAATAAGCATTAAGGAAAAAGAGCAGGGGAAGAGGGACTGAGCATGCTGGAGGAGGGTAGAGTTGCAGTTGAAAGCAAGTGGAGGAAGCTTCATTCAGAAGGTAACATCTGAACAAAAGACTTAAAGGTGTTTGCGGGGAATGGGCATTCTAGGTAGAATGAGAAGTGAATGCAAAGGTTTAAGCTGAGAGTGTACTTTGTCTAGGGAGGGCTGTAAGGAGACCAATGTGGATGGGCCGAGTGAGGGAACAGTAAGAGGAAGTAAGATCAGAGAGGTCATGGGAGAAGGAGAGATCATAGAGGGCTGGCTGTGCACCTTGGCTCACACCTGTAATCCCAGCAGTTTGGAGGCTGAGGTGGGAGGATTGGTTGAGCCCAGGCGTTTGAGACCAGCCTGGGCAACATTACGAGACCCCATCTCTCTCTTTGTTTTTTTTTTTTGAGACAAGGTCTCACTCTGTCACCCAGGCTGGAGTGCAGTGGTGCCATCTCTGCTCACTGCAGCCTCCGCCTCCTGAGTTCAAGCCATTCTCCTGCTTCAGCCTCCCAAGTAGCTGGGACTACAGGCACCCACCACTGCACCCAGCTAATTTTTGTATTTTTAGTGGAGATGGGGTTTCACCATGTTGGCCAGGCTGGTCTTGAACTCCGACCTCAGGTGATCTGCCTACCTCAGCCTCCCAAAGTGCTGAGATTACAGGCATGAGTCACCATGCGGGCCAACCCTGTCTCTATTAAAAATAAAAATAGGCCGGGTGCAGTGGCTCACACTTGTAATCCCAGCACTTTGGGAGGGCAAGGTGGGTGGATCACCTGAGGTCAAGAGATTGAGACCATCCTGGCCAACATGGTGAAACCCCATCTCTACTAAAAATACAAAAATTAACCATGCATGGTGATGTTCATCTGTAGTCCCAGCTACTCGGGAGGCTGAGGCAAGAGAATCGCTTGAACCCAGGAGGCCAAGGTTGTGGTGAACCGAGATTGCGCCACTGCACTCCAGCCTGGGCAATAAGAACGAAACTCTGTCTCAAAAAATAAGTAATAAATAAATAAAAATTAAAAAGATCATGGAGGGCCACATAGACCTGCTAAGCGCTTTGGCTTTTTGTCTAAGAGAAATGGGGGAGCCTGTCAAGGTCATCACAAAGTGGTTAAGGTGGCAGACCCTGCATAAGAGCTCATGCTATTTGCTCACTTTACTATGGGATTGCCGAGGCCCAGACCAGGCAGGGATCCTCCCGGGGCACCCAGCCTATATTCTTCATCTTTAGCATGGGGTCCTGTCCCAGCAATTCGTGGAGCTCATCAACAAGTGCAATTCAATGCAGTCCGAATACCGGGAGAAGAACGTGGAGCGGATCCGGAGGCAGCTGAAGATCAGTGAGTTGTGTGTGCCCAGCCTGGCCTGCAGGGGCAGGTAATCCCAACCCAGCCCTGAGCCTGGCCTTTTCCTTCACAGCCAATGCTGGGATGGTGTCTGACGAGGAGCTGGAGCAGATGCTGGATAGTGGGCAGAGCGAGGTGTTTGTGTCCAATGTGAGTGGCCACAGCCAGCCCCTCTCTGCTGTGCCTCCCATCCCCTCTGAGTCCTATCCCGTTCTTGACCTCCTGGGCTCAGGTGATCCTCCTGTCTCAGCCTCCCGAGTAGCTGGGACTATAGGTGTGAGCCACTGCACTCCGCTTGCTATGTCCCTTTCTGATTGAGGGGACCCTGAGGCCCCTAAGGGAATTAATTAGCTAACCTGGAGTCACCCATCAGATTCCAGGCTGAGGGCTCCCCAGAAGTTCAACAGGAGCTTCTGACCTGCTGTCGG